TGGTGACTGATTTAATCATTAGTAGATGTATTGATCTACTTGTGCATATCTGTGGCTTCTGAAAAGGCCATAATGCACACAGAACTTAAGCCCAGTTCAGTGGAGATCTTATGAATATCATTCCTATGCCACAGCCCCACACCAGTGACCCACAGCACCCATTCAGTCCCAGTCATATGACAGATGACACTCCTACTCATACTAGCTGGTATTCTTGCCTAGTCCTAGTGGGCAGTAGGAGTCCAAGCTTGGGTCTCAGAAGAGGTTAGGATGCGTACGTAATGGCCGTGTGAGCGGATACAAATGGTACCCAGCTCCCTTCTATGGAAAGAGGCAGCTGTGGATGCTCTCTGGAGGCAAAGCTAAATGGAAATAATGTCTAATTCAGTTGTTAAGGATCACGACAGGGTATAAAGGAGAACTGTTTTTAGCATAGAAATATAATGAATAGATTGGGCTTGGAGTTTGGAACCTGGCAATTTGACTGGTAAACTCATGGGTACACTCGCAATGACTGCCTGGTAATGTAGAATGTTAATTCAAATTATGCTAACTGATGTTGCTCATGCAATGGAATGTATTTTTCGTATTGTCAGTTATTAAACTAATCACAGCACAGATTGATCGGTACACTTCCTGCTTTTACTTCCTGCTTTTACTTCCTGCTTTTCTCCTATGGGTACACTGGCAATTGCCGCAAGTCCACCCATTATGCCATCATTAACTTGAATGGGGACGCCCGTTCTATTCATTCTATTTATATGGGTTTTTACATCCTGGCTGATCATATTTCCACACACATGCAGATTTTGTTACAATATTTTAGAAAAATTCAACTGGTAAAGGTTAATTTTGAGAGTATGAATGTATGTATGAATGAATATATGATTAAAAACAATAACCTATTAGGGTGTGGTGCTTGGCTGTGTAGGCTACCTGTAATAATGCAATTATAAGGTACTATGACTTCTGCTGGCATTTTAAAACCATTCCAAATTACAACAAATGTGTTATGATATGTTTTGATCAAGACCTCTTTAAGACTTGAATGTCAATTTCAGACTCTGTAACATCCATAATGGAGGGTGAAAGGTCCGTGTATGTTTTGGCCAAGTGTTTTCCCCCCCAAAAAACAAAAGAAAAACCGCTAACGTCAAAACGGACCGTTTTAAACAAAAAACATTAATAACAGAAAAACTGTTTTAGTTATTTAGTTTTTTTGCATACAGTGAGGGAAAAAAGTATTTGATCCCCTGCTGATTTTGTACATTTGCCCACTGACAAAGAACTGATCAGTCTATAATTTTAATGGTAGGTTTATTTGAACAGTGAGAGACAGAATAACAACAAAAATATCCAGAATAACAACAATAATATCCAGAAAAACGCATGTCAAAAATGTGATAAATTGATTTGCATTTTAATGAGGGAAATAAGTATTTGACCCCTCTGCAAAACATGACTTAGTACTTGGTGGCAAAACCCTTGTTGGCAATCACAGAGGTCAGACGTTTCTTGTAGTTGGCCACCAGGTTTGCACACATCTCAGGAAGGATTTTGTCCCACGCCTCTTTGCAGATCTTCTCCAAGTCATTAAGGTTTCGAGCCTGATGTTTGGCAACTCGAACCTTCAGCTCCCTCCACAGATTTTCTATGGGATTAAGGTCTGGAGACTGGCTAGGCCACTCCAGGACCTTAATGTGCTTCTTCTTGAGCCACTCCTTTATTGCCTTGGCCGTGTGTTTTGGGTCCTTGTCATGCTGGAATACCCATCCACGACCCATTTTCAATGCCCTGGCTGAGGGAAGGAGGTTCACACCCAAGATTTGACGGTACATGGTCCCGTCCATCGTCCCTTTGATGCGGTGAAGTTGTCCTGTCCCCTTAGCAGAAAAACACCCCCAATGCATAATGTTTCCACCTCCATGTTTGACGGTGGGGATGGTGTTCTTGGGGTCATAGGCAGCATTCCTTCTCCTCCAAACACGGCGAGTTGAGTTGATGCCAAAAAGCTCAATTTTGGTCTAATCTGACCACAACACTTTCACCCAGTTCTCCTCTGAATCATTCAGATGTTCATTGGCAAACTTCAGACGGACATGTATATGTGCTTTCTTGAGCAGGGGGACCTTGCGGGCGCTGCAGGATTTCAGTCCTTCACGGCGTAGTGTGTTACCAATTGTTTTCTTGGTGACTATGGTCCCAGCTGCCTTGAGATCATTGACAAGATCCACCCGTGTAGTTCTGGGCTGATTCCTCACCGTTCTCATGATCATTGCAACTCCACGAGGTGAGATCTGGCATGGAGCCCCAGGCCGAGGGAGATTGACAGGTCTTTTGTGTTTCTTCCATTTGCAAATAATCGCACCAACTGTTCTCGCCTTCTCACCAAGCTGCTTGGCAGTGGTCTTGTAGCCCATTCCAGCCTTGTGTAGGTCCACAATCTTGTCCCTGACATCCTCGGAGAGCTCTTTGGTCTTGGCCATGGTGGAGAGTTTGGAATCTGATTGCTTCTGTGTGCTCCTAATCTCAGCTCATTACCTGTATAAAAGACACCTGGGAGCCAGAAATCTTTCTGATTGAGAGGGGGTCAAATACTTATTTCCCTCATTAAAATGCAAATCAATTTATAACATTTTTGACATGCGTTTTTCTGGATTTTGTTGTTGTTATTCTGTCTCTCACTGTTCAAATAAACCTACCATAAAAATTATAGACTGATCATTTATTTGTCAGTGGGCAAACGTACAAAATCAGCAGGGGATCAAATACTTTTTTCCCTCACTGTATGGCCAATATACCACGGCTAAGGGCTGTTCTTACGCTAGACGCAATGCGGAGTGCCTGGCTACAGCCCTTAGCCGTGGTACAGCATATTGGCCATATACCACAAACCCCCAAGGTGCCTTATTGCTTTTATAAACTGCTTACCAATGTAAATAGAGCAGTAAAAATACATGTTTTGTCATACCCGCTCTATACGGTCTGATATTCCACAGATGTCAGCCAATCAGCATTCAGGGCTTGAACCACCCAGTTTATAATTGTAAATAAATCCTGTTTGCGCATGTGCGTAACTGATAAATCCGACAGGAGAGTTTGAGTGATAAAAGTTGGACAGAGGATCTCAATCTCTGTGCAAGAAACACTTGGACGAACTTCAAAAAACAAATGTTTGGCTATTTTCTGGCAATTGTACTGTTATTATGCGCCAGATGTTAAGACTACAAACCGTTATAAATGGCTCATTTGCTAGATTGACTTATTATTTCAATAGGCATAGGTTACTGACTAAAATCTGGGTTTATAATTGCAATTCAACTTTGCCATGGTTTGCTGAGCTAGATGCGGGTAGCCTATAGCCCCTTTCTAGGCCAACATCTCATTTCAGGGAAAAGTCCACAATGAAACTGACCATGATCACAATTGGTAACATCTAATTAATTAACTAAACATGGCCATTAATAATTGCATAATAATACTAGGCTACAACAACAAACTGAAGTTATAGGCTATATATTAAATCCGTTTGGCAGCTCCAGGTAGGCTACACAAGTGGCACAAATTGATTTGCAATGACTCCAGTGATATCTTAATGTAAACACATTTATTGTATCAAATGGTAGGCTACAGTAGCCTACAATGGCATAGAAATGAATAGCCTACTTGATGGCCAACAGATGCAAATGTGTCATTCTCCACATTTAACGTCAGTTTATTGTGGACTTCTTCCCCATAACAGAAGCACACGAGGGAGTTCCATAACTTCCATTTCAAATTTCCGCTCGCGCAACGCTCGAGACCCAAGAATTGAGCATGCTTAAAACCCTTCGTTTCATAAGGTTTTCCATAAGAAAAGTCGACATTCGAATACAGTTTACTTTAAACCACCTCAGAGTGAATTTATCTAAAGCGCTCTAGTGCACCTAAAGTTGTTTTCCAGTGCTTTGTCGCCATTACAGTGCTGAAATAGCAGCTGAATCTTCTGATTACATGGACAAGGTGGACCTGATCAGTAATCCTAGATCAGCAATACTACTCTAAGACCCTTTGTGAATACAGGCCTAGATCTTCCCTAAATGTTAGGCATGTGAGTGAGTACGTGGCAGCCAGGGGAAGAGGGCCGGGCAGGGAGAGGAGTGTACTGCAGGTGTGTGTGTGTGTGTGTGTGTGTGTGTGGTGGCCAGTCATTTGTTGCTCGTCTCTGTAGCCTCAGGCCATTGGCTCTTAATCTGAATCTCTCAATAGCAACACCAGCAGAGCTACAGTATTCTGAAATGACACCTCTTTAGAAATGATCATCTGCGATGCTCAGATTACCAGATTAACTAGGGAGCTAGGATATGTCAGGTAGCTAACCATTTACAGTAACAGGAGTTCATTAATAGGTCAAAAAACACTAACATTGTTGTGACTATATTCAATCTAAAATAGAAATGGAGAAATATCACTTTTGGCATTAATAGATGAATTAATAGCTATTAATAAATGCATTAATAGATAGTAGATTAATATAATTAAGTTAGAAGGATGATATTTCTATTTTGAAGGGACAGGAAGTGTTGGCTGTGCATTCGGCCATTGACAGGCATTCCACAATTAACACCATCCACTTGTGAAAATCGAAATATGAAGTTGTTTTGTTTATATGCAAAATAGGAGAACCAAAAATCGAGCAAGACTTACAAACTCAGACTTTTGCTAATATGTTCAGTCTCCCAAAAAACGTTGTCCATCCATAACGCTTCTTATTTGCTTTATTTCTCCAACAACTGATCTACTGCTTTTATAAAGCTAGCCAGTTGGCTTCACATTCACAGTTCTCCTGATTTGAACTCAATTGACCAAAGTTACCTCGCTAACTCCTCAAACCTGATTCGGGGTATACCCCTCAAGCTAGTGCGTACTGGTATGAATGATGGTTGTATGATGATGAGCCTTGGGGCTAATACGTTCTCACTCTTTCCCATCCATTCCCTTGGCCTTTTGGTCCTTGGCAGGCTCTAAACCGGGGTTTAGCAGGCTTTAAAGAGGATGCGGTTGAGATGCTGGCCAGCTACGGGCTGGCCTATTCGCTAATGAAGTTCTTCACTGGGCCCATGAGTGACTTCAAGAACGTGGGTCTGGTGTTTGTCAACAGCAAGAGGGACCGGGGCAAGGCTGTGCTTTGCATGGCGGTAGCAGGCACTATAGCGTTAATCCTTCATGTTGTCATAGGTGAGGCTTAAACATGGTTGTTTTGTCCCAATCCATGACATTTAATAGTAACTAACTACTAGTATTTATTCTTATTCATTCCAAGTGATTATTTTAAATCCAGTGATATGTCAGTTGTAAACTGCTTTAAGTTGAGCTTTTACATTTTTAAAATTAAGAGGCCAACCTACTAGTGTTTTTGTATTATTTCAAAAGATTCAAATGGAGTTAGCGGTGTCATCTCCTCAGTCCTTATATTCTGCTTCTCTCCCCCCCTCTAGCTCAGTCAGACCTAGGCTACTACATTATCAATAAGCTCCACCATGTGGATGACTCCGTGGGCAACAAGACCAGGAGGGCTTTCCTCTACCTGGCAGCTTTCCCACTGCTGGACGCCATGGTGAGTACTGAGTAGAGTATCCGGCTTGATTCAAGTCTCTGTCCCAAATGGCACCCTATTCACAATATACAGTGCATTCGGAAAGTATTCAGACCTCTTCCCTTTTTCCACATTTTTTGTTACGTTACAGCCTTATTCTAAAATGGATTAAATAAATAAAAATCCTCATCAATCTACACACAATACCCCATAATGACAAAGCGAAAACAGGTTTTTAGAAATGTTTGCAAATTTAGTCAAACTAAAAAACAAATACCTTATTTACAGAACTATTCAGACCCTTTGCTATGAGACTCAAAATTGAGCTCAGGTGCATCCTGTTTCCATTGATCATCCTGTGTTAAATTCAATTGATTGGACATGATTTGGAAAGGCACACACCTGTCTATATAAGTTCCCACAGTTGACAGTGCATGCCGGAGCAAAAACCAAGCCATGAGGTCGAAGGAATTGTCCGTAAAGCTCTGAGACAGGATTGTGTCGAGGCACAGATTTGGGGAAGGGTACCAGCATTGAAGGTCCCCAAGAACACAGTGGCCTCCATCATTCTTAAATGGAAGAAGTTTGGAACCATCAAGACTCTTCCTAGAGCTGGCCACCCGGGAGAAGGACCTTGGTCAGGGAGGTGACCAAGAACCCGATGGTCACTCTGACAGAGCTCCAGAGTTCCTCTGTGGAGATGGGAGAACCTTCCAGAAGGACAACCATCTCTGCAGCACTCCACCGATCAGGTCTTTATGGTAGTGGCCAGACGGATGCCACTCTTCAGTAAAAGGCACATGAGAGCCCACTTGGAGTTTGCCAAAAGGCACCTAAAGGACTCTGACCAGGAGAAACAAGATTCTCTGAACTGATGAAACCAGGATTTAACTCTTTGGCCTGAATGCCAAGTGTCACGTCTGGAGGAAACCTGGCACCATCCCTACGGTGAAGCATGGTGGTGGCAGCATCATGCTGTGGGGATGTTTTTCAGCGGCAGGGACTGGGAGACTAGTAAGGACCAACCTGACAGCGCTTGAGAGGATCTGCAGATTAGAATGGGAGAAACTCCCCAAATGCAGGTATGCCAAGCTTGTAGCGTCATACCCAAGAAGTCTCTAGGCTGTAATTGCTGCCAAAAGTGCTTCAACAAAGAGTAAAGTGTCTGAATACTTATGTAAATGTGATATTTGGAAACATTTCTAAAAACCTGTTTTTACTTTGTCATTATGGGCTATTGTGTGTAGATTGAGGGAATAAAGCAATTTAATCAATTTTAGAATAAGGCTGTAACGTAACAAAAAATGTGGTGAAAGTCAAGGGGTCTGAATACTTTACGAATGCACTGTAGTGCACTAATTTGAACCAGATCCCTATGGGCCATGGTCAAAAGTAGTGCATTATGTAGGGAAAAGGGTGCCATTTGGGAAGTAGACCAGCTCTTTCATGACCCAAAGCATGGCTAGCCAGAGAGCCATAATCATGGCAGATAGAACCTTAAAAACACCTCAAAAAATGATGTATCATCCTCTGCACATCATGCTGGTCTTAAAACGGACGCATGCCTGTCCTTGTATTTCAATGACCGCATGTCGACACATTTCAATGTGAGCCTTTGGCTTGCTTTTATTTTTACAAACCAGACAAGAACTTGGTGTGCTACAATTCTTGGGAGGAGAAGCAACAATTGTCTCGTTGTTAATTTTTGTATTTTAGGCTTGGATCCATGCTGGAATCCTCCTCAAGCACAAATACAGCGTCATCGTAGGCTCTGCCTCCATCTCTGATGTCATCACCCAGGTACTCAACAGATTGCTTCCTTGTTGTTCACTAATCCCCATTACAGTGAAGATGGGTCCTTGTAGCCAAAACAATCATGCAATTCACCTCAAAAGTGGACTTGGCAGTATGCTCTGCTCCGATAGGTTGTGAGAGTGACGTGGTCCTCGGAGTGTTTCTGACTGTGGCCCCTCTGTGGCAGATTGTGTTTGTGTCCATCCTGCTGCACAGTAACCTGCCGTGTATGGAGCCCCTTCTCATCCCCATCCTCTCCCTGTACATGGGAGCTCTGGTGCGCTTCACCATCGTGGGCCTGGGCTACTACTACAACATCCACAACAACATCCCAGACTCCAGTGGAGTTGACGTGGGGGTACGCTGTTTCCTTCGTCACCTAACTGGGACCTTTTTAAGAGTTCAACATGTCGTTTATTTAACGCTAGAACCGCTGGGGCTTTCAGTCGATAAGTATCCGCTAAAGTAGTGGTTCCCAAACTGTGTTGCAGCCGAGACATTTGTGGTGCATTGCATGATAATACATTTGAGGGAATGGGGGAAAAAATGCTTTCAGTGTAAACTTAACGACTAAAACCAAATGGAACGTTTTTTTTTAAATTATGGACCTTTTATATTTTTTAATAATAGCCTATAATCTTTTAGAACCTATAATGAACAAAATAAAAGCTAGACAATCAGGCCCCCATTTCATTTTGCTATGTTTGAGCATAAGAACACCACATTTCCCATGTCAAAATGCGTAGAAATGCAGGAAATTAGCTTAGAAACTGCTAAATTGGTGGGTGTGGCTCGGTCTTCGTCAGAAAATCTTAGACCTTTCTCTTGGCCGCAGAGACACAATTTTGTAGTTTTAAAGCTTAATTTCCTGCAATTGTACATATTTTGCCATGGGGCGGAGAGACATTTTTACAATTTTAAAGCTAGTTTCCTATAATTCTACACATTGTCATGGGACTTAGAGAAAGAATTGCAGTTTAAAAGCTAATTTCCTGCAATTCTACACATTTTACCATGTGGTTGAGAGTGTGCAGTTTAAAGCAAATTTCCTGTAGTTCTACAAACTTTGCCATGGTTTATGGCGTGTTCTTATGCTATCTGAGTGACTCAAACATTATGCCAAAGTCATTATAGAATTTTTGTCTAGTTTTTATTTTATTTACAGCTCCATTATCTTTTCTACAGAATGTTTTCAGAATCTCCATGATCTTTTCTACGTTTTTATTTTTTATTTTTTTTACCGTAAACGTTTTACCATCCTGAAAACGAATAATATTTTACTAACTCAAATAAGTCTCTTATTTTTTTGGGAGTGGCGGCAACGATTTAGGCCAGGGGTGTCAAACTCATTCCATGGAGGGCCTAGTGTCTGCAGGTTTTTCCTTTCAATTAAGCCATAGACAACCAGGTGTAGGGAGTTCCTTACTAATTAGTGAGCTTAGTTCATCCAAGGGAGGAGAGAACCCGCAGCCTTTAGGTCCTCTGTGGAATGAGTTTGACACCTGTGATTCAGGGGAAAGACTACGTCAATATTCTAACAGTCGAATAAATACATTCCATATATGCTATCGGAAGAATAATCATTTGGTTGTGTTTTATGAAGGCCTTAGGTAACAGAATAAGATAACTTATTTGAAAGAAAATGTATTTCAAACGAACAGAATAGCATATTTTAAGTTGTATTATGTTAGTACTTTGCTTAGTAGCCTAAGCAATGCTCCCACAGTGTGGTTATTCTTGGAAAAAGGGATATTTTGAAATAGAGCTCACCTCTTGAATTTTGAGTTATTTGACAAAGGTCAGTGTCTTTAGAAAGTGCAGAATCTGCTGTTTCTGATATTATATAGAAATCAAAATGTCTTACCTGCGTGTGACTGGAGGAGGATTTGAAAAAGTGATGCTCCTTTCCCTACTTCTGTTAGTGCTGAGCTGCACCATCTCTTCATGTACAATTTGACAATGAAGTGGTAATGCCCTCGAAGCCGGTGTTTGGAGGATATATTGGCACGGGTGTTTTTCGTGCCAATATATCCTCCAAACACCAGCTTCGAGGGCATTATTACTTTTATACAACGGATTACCAACATATTCAAATAATGATTGACATATTTTCATTCAGTGTTATTTTTAGGAATTTATTCATACTATTTCATCCTTCCACGAGATATTGTCCCGACACAAATTTAGGGTTGCTACCCAAGTCGGCTGGTCGTTCGTTCTATCGGTTCGGTTGCCAGAGACGCGACCCAGTTAAGTATTGTTAAGTTGCGTCAATTCAAATCTGGTATTAGGAACAAAAGAGGTCAACACGACTTCTAAGATATACTAGTATTTTAATTAATGCAAAACCTTCAATGGTAAATATGATGTTCGTATATACGGGTCCACTGAAATACCACGCAGGGCACTCAGAGAACTAATCCATTGTTACAGGTTCTTCTTCAAATACTCTGACAGAGATATTTCCCACTCCCTGCTGGCCAATCAGAGTAGAGACTGAGCGTGGTTTAGACTTACTCAGCCTATCCGTTGGCGCACCGGCTGGTCCCAGTCCCTTGGCGCTCCACCGTTGCACACTGTTGCCAGGCATAAGTTTTTATCATAACAACCTGTAGAGTCAGCACTTTTTTGCAGTACCCATGTCCTTGGACGGTTCACAGATCACAAAGAAGCAGTGTAGTCTAGTATTTTGAGACACAAGTTCTTATCTCATCCTACCCCCTAACGTTCCTCACATGAATCACAGCCTGTTATGTGAAACAATTTATATCAGTATAGTACAAACCTATGCTTATCATTAATGCATTCCTTCTAAGCTATTCATCACATACAGATCCAATTATGAGAAAATAGAACCCCACAGTATTTTTGTTCTAACTCTATGGACGCGACCCAGTCATTTGTTGGAAATGTTCCGTTGCCATGATGGCAGGCAACGTTCTTATCCCTTGCTTGCTAGTTAGCCAACTTTGGCTAATACAGTCACGTCAAACAGTGCAGCCAGAATAACAGCAAAGTAGCTGCATTTGCGTTTGTTTAAGCTGTTTGAGTGATTTCATTTGGGGGGGGAGATACATCAATAACAATGAGCTAATGATGTGTGATTTTGCCTGGCATAGAACATTTGCTCTCGCGCCAGGCCACTGTTCAGAAGAGCTAGCCATCTACCCAGCTAACACACTCACTTCAAACTGAAGCTGGAATGACCGCAAACTAGCTGCATTTCGTCTTTTTCTATTGACATTTCTTTGTATAAATCCATACAAATTATGCTGATTCATGATTTCAACTGGCTGAGAAAAGCTGCCAGCCTGTCTGTCTCGTCCCGACTCCCGTCACGTTCATTACCATAGGACAGGTGGATATCGAATTTCAATATTGAAACAATGTTGCAAATGGTGGCGAGACAGACAGCAAGGTTATTACAAATCTCCGATGTTGAAAACCAAATGCTAGTCTTAACGAAATGGGAGATGATGTCTAGATGCTTTTTAAAGTGTATATCTAGTATATAAATTGCCTGGCTGGGCTGATGAGACAGTGGATTGTGCAGTCAGATGGAACAGAGTAAATAGGCATTTCAACGTCATAGATTTAGCCCGTGGCAACTTGTGGAATAGACACCGTCTGAATGCAGTTTTAACCAATCAGCATCAAGGATTAGACCCACCTGTTGTATAATTGATAATATTGTCACCCATCATACTTGTCATTGTAATCTTGTTGTTAGGCTAACTTCGTTTAGGTGTAGTTTCAATGGACCATCAGCTGCGCAGGCTGACTAGCATCGTTCACTTCCCCTTGCTCATCAACTCACCCATTCTCTAAACAATTGTAAAGGATGAATTGCATCAACAAATATTTGTGGGAATATAGCCATGAACAGATATACAGTAGCCTAAAAACAAGGATATGTTTTGTATTATTCTTAAGGCCTACTGCAACACATGGCATATTTTCTTTAGCCTTACAATAAAAACATCACAATGTAATACATTTTATTAAATTGTTTTTGTAGTTTTGAGTAGTAATAGAGTTATCGTAAGTAATACAGTCCCGTAACAGCTTCTTTTTACAAAGTAAAACATAGAATATCAACCCACAAGGGGCGCGGTCAAATTATTTGCCATAAACATGAGTGCCAATGCTTAATAAATGGTGCATAATACAAATGTAAAGAATTAATTGCATAAGGAAATAGTCATGAAAATATATGAAAACAAGAGTAATATATTTACTGCATCTCAGTGCTAGAGGCGTCACTACAGACCCTGGTTTGATTCCAGGCTGTATCACAATCCGGCCGTGATTGGGAGTCCCATAGGGGACAATTGGCCCAGCGTCGTCCGGGTTTGGCCTGGGTAGGCCGTCATTGTAAATAAAATATCGGACCCTGTATTGTCGGATTTGAATCTTGCCGATGGGAGATTACATACCATTTCCAGCCTTTCGTAATAAAATAATTAGACTGGCCACAATTTTTCATTTCACTATTGTTTTAAATGAATTCACACTCCCTCCTTATCATTCAGGTAATTCAAATTAAATTGTGAAGTAACGTGCACAATTTCAGTTTCTATTACCCATCCATCCATTTACGTCATTCATTGAGTGAGGAGACGCATTAGCGCCTGGCTGGGTACCAATGTCCTACAGCGCATTTGTCTTTGCCCGTTAAGGTAGGAATAGGTGTGAAAAAACAGGTAAACAGGCTTTAAAAAACGTTTCTGTTTGTGATTGTTTTTAAATCGGACAACTGACCAATGTAAAACACATATGTAGGAAAAGTAAGGGAAGGAGCAGGATGTAGCTTTTTTTTTGGTGGGCAGATTATAATTTTTTAACATTTACAAAATCGAACGTCAGTGGCCGTTGGCCTATGGCGGTTCTATTGTTAATCTTGGTCTTCTAAAACTGTCTTTGATGCAGTTGCAGGACAATTAGGTCAATGGCCCCTATTTTATCTAGTAATCAGTACCACTGCTCTCATGTATGGGAAGGAGCTAGAGCTAGAAATCCAAAGGCACCCAGATTGAACATATCCTTGTTTTCCCCTCTCATTTTGCTTTTCTTTGCAGGGAGATGTCACCATCAGGAAGATGTTGAGTTTCTGGTGGCCTCTGGCCCTCATCCTGGCTACCCAGCGGATCAGCAGGCCCATCGTCAACCTCTTTGTGTCCCGGGACCTCAATGGGAGCAGCGCAGCCACTGAGGTTAGTTTGAAGCCTACTCAGTCCACTCATCGATAATACCCCCATTTAGCTCAGTCCCACTCACTGTAATTGGGCAGCTGCCAACCGCCTTTACCAGAGGGGTATACTACGAATAAAGCTAGATCTACTCAGGGTTTTCTAAAGCTAACCAGCTTCAATTAGCTTCACATTCCAGCTCAGGCTTCATCCGTACTATGACGGTGGACATTGCTTGTCTGCCTGACGCTAACTCTAGCAGGCCTGTAACTGTGCGTGCATGTCGCACGTGGCTAGTCGAACACTGAACTCTTCATTGAGACAATGCTGAAATATCAATCCATGGGCAAGTCAGTGCCACTTTTTGTGCCGAAATCGAAATGAAGGAAAAGTTATCTTTCAAATTGTAGCCCAAGGCACTTGTCCAGGACCTCCATACCAGGCGGTGTCAGAGGAAGGCCCCAAAAATTGTCCGACTCCAGCCACCCAAGCCATACTGTTCAAATAAAATAAAAAAGGTCAAATGCTTCGTAAACAACAGGTGTAGACTAACAGTGAAATGCTTACTTACGGGGCCTTCCCAACAATGCAGAGAAAGACAATTTAGAAATAATAGAAAAAGTTAAACACGTAATAATAAATACACAATGAGTAACGATAACTTGGCTATATACACGGGTACCGAGTCGATGTGCAGGGGTACCAGGTAATTAAGGTAGACACACTATATAGACAAAATAATTTGTGGACACCCCTTCAAATGAGTGTATTCCGCTATATCAGCCACACCCGTTGCTGACAGGTGTGTAAAATTGAGCACACACCCATGCAATCTCCATAGACAAACATTGGCAGTAGAAGGGCCTTACAGAAGAGCTCAGTGACTTTCAACGTGGCACCGTTATAGGATGCCACCTTTCCATCAAGTCAGTTCGTCAAATGTCTACCCTGCTAGAGCTGCCCCGGTCAACTGTAAGTGCTGTTATTGTGAAGTGGAAACGTCTAGGAGCAAGAACGGCTCAGCCGCGAAATGGTAGGCCAAACAAGCTCACAGAACGGGACTGCCAGTTGCTGAAGCGCATAGCACGTAAAAATCGTCTGTCCTCATTTGCAACACTCACTACTGCGTTCCAAACTGCCTCTGGAAGCAACGTCAGCACAGTAATTGTTAGTCGGGAGCTTCATGAAATGGGTTTCCACGGCCGAGCAGCCGCACACAAGTCTAAGATCACCATGCGCAATGCCAAGCGTCGGCTGGAGTGGTGTAAAGCTCGCCGCCATTGGACTCTGGAGCAGTGGAGACGTGTTCTCTGGGGTGATGAATCATAAAGTTTGGTGGAGGAGGAATAATGGTCTGGGGCTGTTATTCATGGTTCGTGCTAGTCCCCTTCGTTCCAGTGAAGGGAAATCTTAACGCTACAGCATACAATGGCGTTCTAGACGATTCTGTGCTTCCAACTTTGTGGCAACAGTTTGGGGAAGGCCCTTTCCTGTTTCAGCATGACAATGCCCCTGTACACAAAGCGAGGTCCATACAGATATTGTTTGTCGAGATCGGTGTGGAAGAACTTGACTGGCCTGCACAGAGCCCTGACCTTAACCCCATCGAACACCTTTGGGATGAATTGGAACGCCAACTGCGAGCCAGGTCTAAACGCCCAACATCAGTGCCTGACCTCACTAATGCTCTTGTGGCTGAATGAAAGCAAGTCCCCGCAGTAATGTTCCAACATCTAGTGGAAAGCCTTTCCAGAAGAGTGGATCTGTTATAGCAGCAAAGGGGGGACCAACTCCATATTAATACCCATGATTTTGGAATGAGCACATACTTTTGGTCATGTAGTGTATGTACATAACTAGGAATAAAGTGATTGATTAATAAACAGTAGCAGCAGCGTATGTGATGAGTCAAAAGGGTGAATACAGATCGTCTGGGTAGCTATTTGGTTAACTATTTAACTAACTATGTAGCAGTCTTATGGCTTAGGGGTAGAAGCTGGTTCCAGACTTGGCACATCGGTCTATGACTTGGGTGGCTGGAGTCTTTGACAATTTTTAAGGCCTTCCTCTGACACTGTCTGGTACAGAGGTCCTGGATGGCAGGTAGCTCGGGCCCCAGTGATTTACTGGGCCTGGGCCGTACGCACTACCCTCTGTCGAACCTTGCGGTCGGATGCCAAGCAGTTGCCATACCAAGCGGTGATGCAGCCAGTCAAGATGCTCGCAACTGTGGAGCTGTAGAACTTTTGGGGGGTCTGAGGGCCCATGCCAAATCTTTTCAGCCTCCTGAGGGGGAAGAGGGGTTCATGTGCCCTCTTCACGATTGCATTGGTGTGTGTGGACCATGATAGATCCTTAGTGATGTGGACACCGAGGAACTTGAAGCTCTCGACCCGCTTCACTACAGCCCCGTTGATGTGAATGGGGGCATGCTCGGCCCTCCGTTTCCTGTAGTCCACGATCAGCTCATTTGTCTTGCTGGCGTTGAAGGAGAGATTGTTCTCTCTGCTACCGCACGGCAAGCGGTACCAGTGCACCAAATATGGATACAATAGGACCCTGAACAGCTTTTACCCTCAAGCAATAAGACTGCTAAACAAGACTGATAAATAGTAATTAATGGCTACCTGGACTACCTGCATTGACCCTTTTTATATATACATGTATCTTTTTTTTCTCTCTCTTGCACTGACTCTACCCACACACTCGCACATACTTACATTAACACCCCAACACACGCGTAAATACTGATGACACACACTTTCACACTCACAGCATACTCTGCTCTACTGCTCACATACGCTGCTGCTACAGCTGTCTATTATCTATCCTGTTGCCTAGTCGCTTTACCCCTACCCTTGACTTATTCCACATTTTGTTGTTACAGCCTGATTGATTAAATATTATTTATTTTTTCACCCATCTACACACGATACCCTATAATGATAAAGTGAAATGTTTTTAGAAATGTGTGCAAATTTATTGAAAATTAAATATTGAAATATCTAATTTACAAGTATTCACACCCCTGAGTCAATACATGTTAGAATCCCCTTTGGCAGCGATTATAGCTGAGAGTCTTTCTGGGTAAGTCTTTAAGAGCTTTGCACATTATTATTTTAAAAAGTTGGTTGTTGATCATTGCTAGACAGACATTTTTCAAGTCTTGCCTTAGATTTAAGCCGATTTAAGTGAACTGTAACTAGGCCACTCAGGAACATTCAATGTCGTCTTGGTAAGCAACTTGTGTTTTAGGTTATTGTCCTGATGAAAGGTACATTTGTCTCCCAGTGTCTGTTGGAAAGCAGACTGAACCAGGTTTTCCTCTAGGGTTTTGCCTGTTTCTTTTTATCGTAGAAAAACTCCCTAGTCCTTGTTGATGACAAGCATAGCAATAACATGATGCAGCCACCACCATGCTTGAAAATATGAAGAGTTGTACTTAGTGATTGGTTGTTGGTATTTAGGACATAAAGTTCATTTCTTTGCCACATTTTTTGCAGTTTTACTTGAGGGCCTTATTGCAAACAGGATGCATGTTTTGGAATATTTTTTACTCTGTACAGGCTTCCTTCTTTTCACTCTGTTGTTTAGGTTAGTATTGTGGAGTAACTACAATGTTGTTGATCTATCCTCCGTTTTCTCCTATCAGAACCATTCAACTTTGTAACTACTTTAATGTCACCATTGGCCTCATGGTGAAATCCCTGAGCGGTTTCCTTCCTCTCCGGCAACTGAGTTAGGAAGGACGCCTGTAATTTTGTAGTGACTGGGTGTATTGACACACCATCCAAAGTGTAATTAATAACTTCCCCATGTTCAAAGGGATATTCAATCCTTTGGTAAAAAATAAAATCTACCAATATGTGCCCTTCTTTGCATTGGAAAACCTTGCTGGTCTTTGTGGTTTAATATTTTTGAAATTCACTACTCGACTGAGGGACGTTACAGATAATTGTATGTGTGGGGTACAGAGATGAGGTATTTGCAAAAATTTCTAAAAACCAGTTTTTGCGTTGTCATGATGGGGTATTGTGTGTAGACTGATTTAGGAAAAAAATACATTTTAATCAATTTTAGAATGAGGCTGTAACGTAACAAAATGTGGAAAAAGTCAAGGGGTCTGAATACTTTCCGAAGGCACTGTACATAGCTACCTCAATTACCTCGTACCCCTGCCCATCGACTCGGTACTGGTACTCCCTGTATATAGCCATGTTATTTTTACTCGTAATTGTTATACTATGTGTATTTATTCCTCGTCACTTTCATTATTTTTATTTGATCTTTAACTCTGCATAGTTGGAAAAGGACCCGTAAGTAAGCATTTCACTGTTAGTCTACACCTGTTGTTTACAAAGCATGTGACAAATATAATTTGATTCGATAGATATGGGAAAATCCACATGCGATTACCAACTTAGCACATATTCAGAATTGTCTTTGCTGACAGGCTTTGGCTCATCAGTCGTGTTTTAACATCTTGGCTACATTACTGTAAGCTGTCCAAAAAGAAAATGAAATGGCATATGAGTCCTAATGTCTGTCTCTATCTTTGCTTGACCAGGCTGTGGCTGTCCTCACTGCCACCTACCCTGTGGGTCACTTGCCGTACGGCTGGCTGACCGAACTGAGGGCCATCTATCCTGCTTTCGACAAGGTTAACCAAGACCTCATCCACAGTCTCACAATAGCCTCTTGTTGGAGATCACAACGTAGTAGATATCATCAGTTTAAATGAATACAGGTGACTTGTATTGGCGTCCTTTATTCCCCACTAATGATACTGTTCTCTTCTCCAACAGGCCAATCCCAGCAATAAGCCTATCTCTGGCACTCTGGTTACAAAGACTCATATCAAAAAGTTTACAGCCTGTTGTTTGGCACTATCACTCACGGTAAGAAGGATCTATAGAAGGAAGGATCTGTATGGATCTGTTTTTATTCCAATACTGTATTTTGATAAGTCATATAATCAAAGTATATTGGGAAGTATACCAACTCTACATAAAAAATGAGAATTCAGAGTGTAGAATTCAGAGCCAAAATGGGTTGAGACTCACGCTAGCAGAGCAAATCATCCCTTAAGTGTCCTGCACTGACAAATTATTGGCATTTCTACCTCTGTTAATGCTTCTTACTTAACGTCCGGTGTCGTACTTATTCATTTCCTGAACTATAGCCTACTTTTTTGGTCCTAGCTGAAAATGATTATGAGAAAAGGAGGAAGGCAAAGAAGACACGTCTGATAGATAAGCACAGTGCCATAGATATACACTACCGTTCAAAAATGTGGGGTCAATGTCCTTGTTTTCGAAAGAAAAGCAATTTTTTTGTCCATTAAAATATCATCAAATTGATCAGAAATACAGTGTCGACATTGTTAATGTTGTAAATGGCTATTGTAGCTGGAAACGGCAAATTTTTTTATGGAATATCTACATAGGTGTACAGAGGCCCATTATCAGCAACCATCAGTCCTGTGTTCCAATGGCACTTTGTGTTTGCTAATCCAAGTTTATCATTTTAAAAGCTGAAAACTGTTGTGCTGATTAAAGAATCAATAAAACTGGCCTTCTTGAGACTAGTTGAGTATCTGGAGCATCAGCAATTGTGGGTTCGATTACAGGCTCAAAATGTCCAGAAACAAATAACTTTCTTCTGAAACTCGTCAGTCTATTCTTGTTCTGAGAAATTAAGGCTATTCCATGCGAGAAATTGCCAAGAAACTGAAGATCTCGTACAACGCTGTGTACTACTCCCTTCACAGAACAGCGCAAACTGGCTCTAACCAGAATAGAAAGAGGAGTGGGAGGCCCCGGTGCACAACTGAGCAAGAGGACAAATACATTAGTGTCTAGTTTGAGAAACCGACGCCTCACAGGTCCTCAACTGGCAGCTTCATTAAATAGTACCCGCAAAACACCAGTCTTAATGTCAACAGTGAAGAGGCGACTCCGGGATGCTGACCTCCTAGGCAGAGTTGTAAAGAAAAAGCCATATCTCAGACTGGCCAATAAATATAAAATATTAAAATGGGCAGTCTGAGATATGGCTTTTTCTTTGCAACTCTGCCTAGACGGTCAGCATCCCGCAGCATTGAAAACTACTGCTTTTATTTTTCAAATTAGTCCATTGTATACTCAGCGCGTTAACTTTTCAACTATGCTCCAAATCCTTTTGAAATTGCAGCATCTGCGCCTGCAATTTAACATCATGAGCGGTCTTGTCTTGCCACAGCACTGTGAACCGCGGCACATTGACGCATATGATTGGTATAGTTATGTAAGGGACCAAGGGGATTGGATGCATGTTTTAAAGAGAGCGAGAACGTTCTCCGCTGAGTTTATACAACTGTAAAAAGAGCAGCACGGTAGCACTGTTTCATGTACAATGTTGTCAACAAAATTAGGTTGCTGTTATACCTGTCCCTATTGCAGAATGTAGCCTTTTGACTGCATGTACTAAAGTCGATTTAATCCCCACTTGCATTAGTCCCCTCGTTTGGTGATTGGCATTTAGGCTGTGACAACGAAAAGGCAGCAGCAGACAGACCTACAGTATGTTTTAGCAGGGAAGTTTGGTAGGGTGACCTGATTTGTAACTATGAAAATAATTTTGTCAAACAGATTGTGAACCCAAAAGTGTAAGTTTGATTCTAGAGTGGGGACAATACGTAGAAAAATAATTTGGTTGGGGTGTAGGGGCATATTTATGTAATCTTGTCTTCAACATATTTTATTATCTATTTACTTTATTTAGTCTGATCAGTGGAACAATTGTCATTCTTAACAATGGCCTAAAATATAGGGTAATTACTGTGCTTGTCAGCAAGAACACTACAGTTATTCTCCACCCTTATTGTATTATTCCACTTCTTCCCAATGTTGCCACTGTAATCACATATTTGAAATCTGATATGCCTACTTGTGTCTTGAAAATGAGTTATATGAGGTGGTAGGGGGACTCTCAACTCAAACGCATCCTATTGTGTAAGATGATGGCAAGGATCTTCAACTAGTAGTCATAAACCCACTGAATATTGGTATTCATTAGATTTGTCTTGAAGGTTGGGCGATTTTCAGAATTTAGCCCTGTTTTAAAGAGTTCAACTCAATTACAAAATGTTTGTATCCTTACCTTGAAAGCAGTCTATGGACAAGGAGACTGCAATACAGTGGGGAAAAAAAGTATTTAGTCAGCCACCAATTGTGCAAGTTCTCCCACTTAAAAAGATGAGAGAGGCCTGTAATTTTCATCATAGGTACACGGTAACTATGACAGACAAATTGAGGGGAAAAAATCCAGAAAATCACATTGTAGGATTTTTAATGAATTTATTTGCAAATTATGGTGGAAAATAATTATTTGGTCACCTACAAACAAGCAAGATTTCTGGCTCTCACAGACCTGTAACTTCTTCTTTAAGAGGCTCCTCTGTCCTCCACTCGTTACCTGTATTAATGGCACCTGTTTGAACTTGTTATCAGTATAAAAGACACCTGTCCACAACCTCAAACAGTCACACTCCAAAATCCACTATGGCCAAGACCAAAGAGCTGTCAAAGGACACCAGAAACAAAATTGTAGACCTGCACCAGGCTGGGAAGACTGAATCTGCAATAGGTAAGCAGCTTGGTTTGAAGAAATCAACTGTGGGAGCAATTATTAGGAAATGGAAGACATACAAGACCACTGATAATCTCCCTCGATCTGGGGCTCCACGCAAGATCTCACCCCGTGGGGTCAAAATGATCACAAGAACGGTGAGCAAAAATCCCAGAACCACACGGGGGGACCTAGTGAATGACCTGCAGAGAGCTGGGACCAAAGTAACAAAGCCTACCATCAGTAACACACTACGCCGCCAGGGACTCAAATCCTGCAGTGCCAGACGTGTCCCCCTGCTTAAGCCAGTACATGTCCAGGCCCGTCTGAAGTTTGCATTTGGATGATCCAGAAGAGGATTGGGAGAATGTCAGATGAAACCAAAATATAACTTTTTGGTAAAAACTCAACTCGTCGTGTTTGGAGGACAAAGAATGCTGAGTTGCATCCAAAGAACACCATACCTACTGTGAAGCATGGGGGTGGAAACATCATGCTTTGGGGCTGTTTTTCTGCAAAGGGACCAGGACGACTGATCCGTGTAAAGGAAAGAATGAATGGGGCCATGTATCGTGAGATTTTGAGTGAAAACCTCCTTCCATCAGCAAGGGCATTGAAGATGAAACGTGGCTGGGTCTTTCAGCATGACAATGATCCCAAACACTCCACCCGGGCAACGAAGGAGTGGCTTCGTAAGAAGCATTTCAAGGTCCTGGAGTGGCCTAGCCAGTCTCCAGATCTCAACCCCATAGAAAATCTTTGGAGGGAGTTGAAAGTCCGTGTTGCCCAGCGACAGCCCCAAAACATCACTGCTCTAGAGGAGATCTGCATGGAGGAATGGGCCAAAATACCAGCAACAGTGTGTGAAAACCTTAGACTTACAGAAAACGTTTGACCTGTGTCATTGCCAACAAAGGGTATATAACAAAGTATTGAGAAAATGTTGTTATTGACCAAATACTTATTTTCCACCATAATTTGCAAATAAATTCATTAAAAATCCTACAATGTGATTTTCTGGAAAAAAAATTCTCATTTTGTCTGTCATAGTTGACGTGTACCTATGATGAAAATTACAGGGCTCATCTATTTAAGTGGGAGAACTTGCACAATTGGTGGCTGACTAAATACTTTTTTTCCCCCACTGTATATGATTTGGTTAGCCACTGCCATCAACCATTAATATAAAAATCTCCTGTGCAGAGAGACTGGTGTCGCATACAACTTTCCACTTGAGAACAGGGATCAATCCCTACTTCCAACCTTCTCACTGTGTCTAGCATTTACCTATCTAATTTCATTACTGTCTGAATAAAGTATCAATTTTGTTTAAAAATATTAGTATACTTTAAATGTAATCTCCCAAAATTCTGACAGTAACAAAGTTGTCGAATTTTGAGTGTTCATTTAATGTTCAAAGCGTCCTGAATACACCTGATCTGGGTTTTTATTTAAAAAAAATCTAAATCATGTCAAAATACGTAGAAATTAGCTTTAAAACAGTAAAATGTTCCTTGGGGAGGACCCCCAGTCCCCCGTCTAGGGATTGTGCCAGAGGGCAATGAAATTCACATAGCAAATCTCACTCCAAGTTTTTATCAAAAGTTGCCAGCCCTGAAAGCACACAACAATACAAGTAATTAAGAAAAACAACATCACAACATCCTGTGTTGGACAGTCATGAGAAGGTTTATGGCTTGAGTGGTCATCTGAGGGAGGTGGTCAAGCAGGGAGAGAAAGTTCGGAGGCAGGCAGGAAGCTCATCAAGGTGTCTCGCTGTTTCTGTCTTTTCCGTAGTAAACCTCAGTCAAATTCAGTTTGAGCTAAGCCACTGCAGCCTCTGCTAGCTAGTTAGCTACTCCTTCACTGCTACCAAAATGAAGCAGCCACTTGGATGATGCTACAGCAGTTACGTGGCACCAGAAAGCACACCACATTTCAATAATAATTCAAGAGCAGCCTTGTAACTTTGTCCTTCCTACGATCCTCATCACTGCACACCTCTGCCGTCTTGCTTTCGGCTTCTCTCCATCCTCAACCGCCGGACATTGGCTGGAATTCGAATCAAAACAGCTAGCCAGTTAATGTTAGCTAGCTAGCCAAACAAACAAAGGACTTGCCAGCTTCAGTCTTAATGCTGTGGTGGATTCTGATTTATATGAATTAGCTATATTAATTGTTCATTCTTTTTTTTTAAATATATATTGTTGGTAAACAAATGCCATAAATGAATTAATTACAAAAATATTTACAAAATGTACAGGAGCTCTCTGCTTAGGCTGCTGCTAGGGCGCCATGGAAACTGTAGAACTATGTACAAAATTATCCTCTTTCCCTAAAAGCATGGTGGTCAGTACTTTTTTACTTTAAAGGGGAGGATAACTGGGCCGCACAGACAATCGATCTGAAATCAGTCATGGTATTTTGTTTTGCTTTAACCCCAGTATGTGGTAAATGCAGGGTGGAAATGGAAATAGTAAGAAAAACTGGTTTGATTAGAGGAAATGGAAAAACAGGAAGTTTGTGGCCAAGGTTAGGTCTTGGAGCCAGAGAGCGAAGTGGCGGTGGCATTCCAGCCAGATGTGGAATTCCAGTTTTAAACAAGTGGGTGTGGGCTCATGCCTGCCAGCACACAGCACGTTGGGCCAGATGGGCATGGCCTATAGGCTTGATGAAAACTCTGGCAAAGCCAGTCTGGCAGACTACAGGCCAAGACTTTCTCTGATTTGCATCTGACTCCAAGGGATAGACAACAGAGAACAGCACAGAGCGGACAAGGTGGATAACGGTGTACAAGAAACACCACAAAAAGGATCAGTGTAAAGTTTACACTGTAAACAAAGCAAATGGGTTTTAGATGATTTCCCTTTGACTTTAGTTGGCGTTTAAAGTGAGGAAGTCTGGCGAAAAAATGGAGGAAAAACACTGATTCATTGACTCAAAATGACCTCTCTAGTTGTGTACAGTATGACAGGTGACTGACTAACCGTAGACATCTAGAAAAACATCTGATAGTAATCAGCACGACTACACTGCTACATTTTCTTTGACAATCCAATGTTTTTTAACCAGAACCTGATGAGCACTACAGATAGTTTATACATTGACTTGCTTGATTTGCAATATTGTTATATACTGTATCTACAGTACATTGCTACCACAATTAGAATGAATGAATTCGGTCACACGTCTGGCCTGTGTTAACTTCTAAGGGACCACAGTGAACCGGAAACCACTCGCCTTAAAGGGGCAACAGTTGCTACATACATTTTTGGATTGATAAATGTATGATATGTACCCATTGATAACTTTTATAAATGCCTCATGAGCTTAGTTCAACTGTTGTACCCCATCAGAACCCAAAATAGAAGCTTGTTTTATTCCAATGTTTGTAAACAAATAAATGTAATCAAACGCTATATAACCTTTAAAACAGGGTTAAAACTGTAATTTCTATATCGTGGATGGTCTCCAGCCCCATCCTTCAGCTTTTTACCAAATAATGGGTGGGAAGGACTCTTTGTTATTGTTATAGCTGCTGATTGCTGCTTTAATGATCGTGTAAATTCTAACGAGGCATGGTTTTGGCAAGGTTGCCCAACTTTGTGGTGTGTGCTTAACACCGAGTTAAATTACTCTGTTTGCCCAGCTATGTGTGACGTAATGAACACCTCTGTTTGTTAACCTTTGGACAGCTCTGCTTCGTGGTGTTCTGGACCCCTCACATCTCGGAGAAGATCCTGGTGGATGTGATCGGGGTGGACTTGGCCTTCGCTGAGATCTGTGTACTTCCACTAAGGATCTTCTCCTTCTTCCCTTTGCCAGGTAAGAAGAACCGCTCTTCTTATTTCAGCATTAAAACACTCCCTATGCCTGTTGCCCAGTTGACTGGAGCATGGTGGTTGCAACACTAGAGTTGTGGGTTTGAGTCCCGACGGGCCACAGGTTAAATACAGTATATATTAACAGGAAGTTGCTTTAACAGGAAATATCTGCTGGAAATGTCTGACCATTATGATCAGTCCCAAAATGCAGTGTCTTGTTCCTCTTGCACAAAATTCTTTTTTAATCTTCAACATAGGAATGCTACCAAAAAGAACTTAATGAAACTGGTTACAATTGACGGAGTCACCCATAATTCACCAAATGATATTTTGAAGGAAGAAACAAAGTACTTTAAGCATATGTTTTCTTTTCAGTCGCCTCCATCTCCTCTAACTGAAGCTAATTGTAGGGATTTTTTTTCTATTGATAATGTCAAATTAACAGCCACACAGAAAGACTAATGTGAAGGTGAAATTAGAGGAGGAACTTCTGGATGCAATTAAAGACTTTAAGTCCGGGAAAACTCCAGGGTTGGATGGCATACCAGTCGAGGTATACCAAACCTTTTTTGATATACTAAGCGGACCGTTATTAGCATGTTTTAACCACTCCTATGTAAATGGTAGATTATCTGACACTCAAGAAGAAGGTCTGATCTCATTATTATTGAAACAGGATACAAGTGGAAAATATAAAGATCCAGTCCATTTACAAAATTGGAGGCCCCTTACACTTCAGTGTTGTGATGCAAAAATCCTAGCAAAATGTATAGCGCATAGAATTAAAAAGGTATTGTCGGATATTATTCATTCTAATCAGACAGGTTTTTTACATGGAAGATACATTGGAGATAATATAAGGCAAGTATTGGAAACAATAGAACACTATGGAAAATATGGGAAACCAGGCCTGCTATTCATAGCCGACTTCGAAAAGGCATTTGATAAAGTTCGACTGGGGTTTATATATAAATGCCTGGAGCATTTCAATTTTGGAGAATCTCTTATAAAATGGGTCAAAATCATGTATAGTAACCCTAGGTGTAAAATAGTAAATAATGGCTATTTCTCAGAAAGTTTTAAACTGTCAAGAGGAGTGAAACAAGGATGTCCACTATCAGCATATCTATTTATTGTGGCCATCGAGATGTTAGCTATTAAAATCAGATCCAATAATAATATCAGAGGATTAGAAATACAGGGCTTAAAAACAAAGGTGTCATTGTACGCTGATGATTCATGTTTTCTTTTAAATCCACAACTAGAATCCCTCCACAGCCTCATAGAGGATCTAGATACATTTTCTAACCTCTCTGGATTACAACCAAATTATGACAAATGTACTATATTACGTATTGGATCACTAAAAAATACAATTTTTACATTACCATGTAGTTTACCAATACAATGGTCTGATGGTGATGTGGATATACTCGGAATACATATCCCAAAGGAAATAAATGATCTCACTTCAATAAATTTTAATAGAAAGTTAGCAAAAATAGATAAGATCTTACTACCATGTAAAGGAAAATACCTGTCAATTTGTGGAAAAATCACCCTGATTAACTCTTTAGTATTATCCCAGTTTACCTATTTGCTTATGGTCTTGCCTACGCCTAGCGAACAGTTTTTTAAATTATATGAGAAAAAAATATTCAATTTTATTTGGAACGGCAAGCCAGACAAAATTAAGAGCATATTTATATAATGAATATGAATTCGGAGGACATAAATTATTAAATATTAAAGCATTAGACCTATCACTAAAAGCTTCAGTCATACAAAAGTTATACTTAAATCCGAACTGGTTCTCAAGCAAATTAGTAAGATTGTCTCACCCAATGTTCAAGAAAGGCCTTTTTCCCTTTATTCAGATTACAACCTCTCACTTTCAGTTATTTGAAAAGGAAATAATCTCCCAAATGTCACTATTTCTAAAACAAGCCATAGAAAGTTGGTTGCAATTTCAATTTAATCCTCCAGAAACGACAGAACAAATAATGCAACAAATATTGTGGTTAAATTCAAATATACTAATTGACAAAAAACCTTTATTTTTTGACAGAATGTTTAAAAAAGGTATAATCTTCGTAAATGATATCATCGGTAGGACTGGTAGGACTCGCACATGCAGCTAACAAAAACATATGGAAATGTCTGCTCTACCCAAAATTACAACCAAATAATTGCAGCCTTACCGCAAAAGTGGAAGAGGAAAGTGGAAGGGGGAGAAAGTAAGGAACTTGTCTGTCGGCCTTGCATTAAAGAACATAATTGGTTAAGGAAAACTGTGATAAATAAAAAAGTATATCAGTTTCACTTAAGGACCAAAGGTTTGACAGCCGTCCCATATAGATTGCAAAATAGTTGGGAAGAGATCTTTGACGTACCGATCCCATGGCATAGTGTTTATGAACTGACACGCAAAACGACACCGGATTCAAAAATTTGAATCTTTCAATTTAAATTATTATATACAATTCTTGCTACCAATAGAATGTTATTTATATGGGGGATACAATCTTCCCAGCTCTGCAGGTTTTACTGTGAAGAGACAGAATCATTAGATCATTTGTTTTGGTTCTGTCCATTTGTAGCTTGTTTTTGGACACAGGTCCAGGAATGGCTAAAGGATTGCAATATTTACCTGGAACTAACCTTGCAGATAGCATTACTGGGTGATCTGAAAAGTCATAGTCAATCAATCAATAATATAATAATACTTTTAGCAAAAATGTTTATTTTTTATTCACAATCTGTAGAAGCAATGAGAATAGAAAGGTTCAGAATTTTTGTAAAACATCACAGTACGGTCGAAATATATATGGCAAATAGAAATCCTATATGGATGGTGTTAAGAGATAGATGGGAGGTATTGAATAGAGTTGAAGGATGGGACTAATAACAAATAACAACAAATAATAACAAAGATAGCTAATAATGTAAGCATACTGTGTCCATAATAAGTATATAGGTTGTATGTTGGGAGCTTTTGGGAAGGAGCACAGTTAGAAAGATATGGCATATAGAAGCAAACTGGATGGACACCATGAAAATGATCGGAGAGGTTGAGAGTAGAAGAAGTTCAGGAGCAAAAAAAATAATATATATATATATATATATATATATATATATATATATATATAATAGAATTATTGTAAAATTAACTCTGTCCATAAGGTGTAGATAGTAAGTATAGACCGGAAGTAGACGCCTGGGCATTGTTGTTCACTAATTTACTCCAAGTAGGGAAAGGATGGTGGGGTTGAAAAGTAATAAAGGGGAGTATATATATAAAAAATAAAAAAAACATGGGGGATTGGAAGTGATGCAGACAATTACATTGATATAAGATAATCTATCTGCAATATTAAGCTGATCCATTCCCCCCCCCCCAAAAAAAAAAAAAAAAACAGGAAGTTGCTTTAACAGGAAATATCTGCTGGAAATGTCTGACCATTATGATCAGTCCCAAAATGCAGTGTCTTGTTCCTCTTGTCTGAGTATGAGGGTTTTGTGTGTGAACAGCTATGAGCCATGGTTTAGCTGAGAGAGCAGTCTGTCTGTGATGTAATGTTTCCACTGACTTTCCGTGTGTGTGTGTGTGTGTGTGTGTGTGTGTGTGTATAGTGATAGTCCGGTCCCACCTGACCGGTTGGTTCATGACCTTGAAGAAGACCTTTGTGCTGGCCCCCAGCTCTGTACTCCGCATCATCGTCCTCATCACCAGCCTGGTCGTGTTGCCTTCTATTGGGTAGGTGGACACCTCACTGGACACCTACCAGTCTCTGTGTCCCAAATGACACCCTATTCCCTTTATAGTCAATTACTTTTGACTAATATGAAAAATGGTTACATTTACATTTTAGTCATTTAGCAGACGCTCTTATCCAGAGCGACTTACAGTTAGAGTGCATACATTTTTATTTTTTATACTGGAATCGAACCCACAACCCTGGCGTTGCAAATGCCATGCTCTACCAACTGAGCTATATTCTAAAACTGGATCAAGATGGTTCATTTGAATCCAGCAAACTTTGCTCAGTGTGACATTTTGATTAGACTTCAATTTGACAGAGTTGAGGAGCTGCTACCTGTTTCATGATGAGCAAATATGAATAGAAATGTATTCAGAGAGGAGAGTTTAAATCAGGAATATGTAAATGATCACCATTCACTGCATCACCTACCATCAAATGCAGACTGTGCACATTCATTGTGAGGATAGGCGTTAATGGGTTCTCTGCAGTTTTGTATTGAGCTAATATACACATTAAATCTGTAGACCGGTTCCTTGTGCATGGTTTTGAATTAAACATAAGGTATCATAATATAAAACTAATGAGGAAGCAAAACATGCTTTTTGCTGCACCAGAATTTGACCCATCTACAATATTAGCTGTCCTTATTTTACTCTACCTTATCTGTAAATAAGATACATTTGTGGTCCTCTGTAGCTCAATTGGTAGAGCATGGCGCTTGTAACGCCAGGGTAGTGGGTTCGATCCCCGGGACCACCCATACGTAAAAATGTATGCGCACGTGACTGTAAGTCGCTTTGGATAAAAGCGTCTGCTAAATGGTGTATTAAATGTAAGTGAATATGTTACTGCCGTTTCTCGCAAAGCCATTTTTCTATCTGAAACGTATGCGTAAAAAAAATGTAACTTCAAGATGGTAATTTCACTGTGGGCAAACTGCATCTGCACTTATTCTGCAGAAATATTAGTGCGTTATAAATAAAATGTATTATTATATATCACTAGGGTTGCAAAATTCCAGGAACTTTCAATAAATTCCATGGATTTCCAGAAATCCTGGTAGGAGGATTCTGGATTTCCTGCTTATTCCCTCCTGATTCCTGGAATCCGCCAACGAGGATTTCAAGAAAACCAGGGAATTTATTGAAAATTCACAGCATTTTCCAACCTTATATATCACCATAAAGACTGGCCATAAAGAGAGGACCTTTCTTCCATCGCTTAGCAACACCTTTCATCCGGACTGACAAGTCCAAGCAAGTAGACCAGACCTGCTGCTATAGCAAAGACTCACAGGAGTGGAAAATCCTTTTCATCTTTACCCAATCAAAAATATCCATCTGTGCCAGATGCCAGGCTATTTCACAACAAGACATCTCGGATGACTCATGTTCTTCCAGAACCCGCTCGTACATTTTTAGCTCACCACACACTATAATAGGCCTACAACTAAATGGTTGCTTTTGTTTTTGAGGAAGGGTTAAATATGTCTTATTTTAGTCTATATAGATCCTCAAAATGTATTCCAATTTGGTAAGCCTGTACCACATAGGCCTACTGTATATCCTGTATTCTGATCTCTACTGGTCAGTGGTTCCAAAGTTGATGAATGCTGTGGTTTGTGTTTCAGTGTCCACGGGGCCACTCTGGGGGTTGGGTCCCTGTTGGCTGGTTTCGTAGGGGAGTCTACCATGGTGACCATAGCTGCCTGCTATGTCTATCAAAAACAGGTGAAGTCCCATCCCTAAAGGCAAAAGGAGAGTAAGAAACTGTATAGTCATACAGTGAAGTACAAAATCACTCTAAATTGCTCTTCATTCCTTTTCATGTCTCACTCCTTCTCTTTCACAGAAAAACTATGAGATGGCCAGCAAGCTGCTGGTGGAGGGAGAGGACTCCGTTCCTCCGAGTGAGGTGCGTTCCAGAACTCAGAAGGACTCCATCGAGGAGCTCCAGGAGGAAGAGGAGTAGAGGCACTTGGAGGGAAAGGGACAGGAGAAAATGGAGCTAAGCGCAACAGAGAAAGATAATTCCAGTGGGTAGACCCTAATACCAGACCTGAGAGAACAACTGAGGAATCAGAGTCCTTAACCCTTTGCACTCGTACTTGTATACCGGTTGAAAATGTTAGATTTGGGCACTGATAAACGCCTAAATTGGAACGTAGTGGCTGTACATTAACATGCTATAGATGACGTCAGAGCTCTGGCTCTGCGCTTCACGGGTTTTGACTGACAGCCGTTCTGAACTTGAGCACTGTGTGCGACAAGAATTTGCCCCCATCGCTCCTGATAATTGGGCAACTCTTGCAAATCTTTTGTCTGACAGAAATGTTGTAAATTAAAAAGGTGACTATGTATTTTGAAAGATGTGAGGATTATAATAAATACCGCTTTGATGTCAAACAAGCAAGCCGAACACCTGTGTCCAAATTTGCACTTCACATTTCCAAATCATAAAACTAATGTCATATACAGTGTCAACGTTTATGATCACTATGTTTTATATACAGTTACAAGATGACATGGCGTCATACTCTGGGTTGTCCTGAACAGAATGAGCCTATGTTTGTTTATTGTGAAGAAAATTTGCTGCGGCACATGAACCTGAATGCACTCAGGACTCCTTTCTATGCCACCAAAATTACAATCTGTTCCTCTGAATTGCCATGTGAAAGCCCAACACTGTAAGATCGGATTTTCTAACATAGCTAGTCATATTGGCAAAAGAACAAGCTTTCAAATCATGCCCACCTCACCCAGATTGCGATCTATAATGGACCGTTTTTTGATTGCGTTAACAGTAATTGTTTGATTGCAGGGTTGTGTTCCAAACGAAACGACTACAAGTGTGCTTGCTCTAGTTCCTCAACGGCACAGCTAGGAGAGCTAAAAGTACCTTATTGTTGAAGACTGTCTGCGTTTACACAGGCATCCCAATTCTGATTATTTTTTTCCACTAATCAGTCTTTTGACCAATCAGCTGTGAAAAATAAAATAACTGATGTGATTGGTCAAAAGACCAATTAGTGGAAACATTTCAGAATTGAGCTGCCTGTGTAAATGCAGCCTTAGTCCATAAAAGGGCATTGAAATTGCTTAGGAACTGTGCACACTTTGGAGAGGTGTGGCCACTTGAGCCTCGTTTATACCTGTCGCCAACATGTCCTTGTCTGTTTACACTTATCACAGTGCGTATTTTAATCATCTACATCTCTCTAAAAATGTGGGCACAATCAGAATGTGGACAAGATCAGGACAAAGTACAACGTTAGCACCAGGTATAAACGGGGCTATGGAGTCAACAGTTAGTTCTCACTCATACCCTTGTAATTGTTTTCTTATGGTCCACCTACCCCACATTTTCCAGGAATAGTCTTATGTTACTGAATGTATTCAGTTATAATTTTTTCCATTAACAAATGTGGCAAAAGTACAGTAAATGTGAAATGCACAAAATCAAATGTACTGTTTTGATTCAGTCGTGTCAGGTGAACTGTTGTGTACTCACCTTTTGGCCTAATAATTTACCCATTATTTCCAAACTGTTCCCTTTCAATTGCTACAATGGTTATGCATTACAGATTTATTCTGTAAGAAACGTTTCAATTAAGCCAGATACAGTTGAAGTCGGAAGTTTACATACACTTAGGTTGGAGTCATTAAAACTTGTTTTTCAACCACTCCACACATTTCTTGTTAACAAACTATAGTTTTGGCAAGTCGGTTAGGACATCTACTTTGTGCATGACACAAGTAATTTTTCCAACAATTGTTTACAGACAGATTATTTCACTTATTCACTGTATCACAATTCCAGTGGGTCAGAGGTTTACATACACTAAGTTGACTGTGCCTTTAAACAGTTTGGAAAATTCCAGAAAATGATGTCATGGCTTTAGAAGCTTCTGATAGGCTAATTGAAATCATTTGAGTCAATTGGAGGTGTACCTGTGGATGTACGCTGCTCAAAAAAATTAACGGAACACTTAAACAACACAATGTAACTCCAAGTCAATCACACTTCTGTGAAATCAAACTGTCCACTTAGGAAGCAACACTGATTGACAATACATTTCACATGCTGTTGTGCAAATGGAATAGACAACAGGTGGAAATTATAGGCAATTATCAAGACACCCCCAATAAAGGACTGGTTTTGCAGGTGGTGACCACAGACCACTTCTCAGTTCCTATGCTTCCTGGCTGATGTTTTGGTCACTTTTGAATGCTGGCGGTGCTTTCACTCTAGTGGTAGCATGAGACGGAGTCTACAACCCACACAAGTGGCTCAGGTAGTGCAGCTCATCCAGGATGGCACATCAATGCGAGCTGTGGCAAGAAGGTTTGCTGTGTCTGTCAGCGTAGTCCAGAGCATGGAGGCGCTACCAGGAGACAGGCCAGTACATCAGGAGACGTGGAGGAGGCCGTAGGAGGGCAACAACCCAGCAGCAGGACTGCTACCTCTACCTTTGTGCAAGGAGGAGCAGGAGGAGCACTGCCAGAGCCCTGCAAAATGACCTCCAGCAGGCCACAAATGTGCATGTGTCTGCTCAAACGGTCAGAAACAGACTCCATGAGGGTGGTATGAGGGCCCGACGTCCACAGGTGGGGGTTGTGCTTACAGCCCAACACCGTGCAGGACGTTTGGCATTTGCCAGAGAACACCAAGATTGGCAAATTCGCCACTGGCGCCCTGTGCTCTTCACAGATGAAAGCAGGTTCACACTGAGCACTTGACAGACGTGACAGAGTCTGGAGACGCCGTGGAGAACGTTCTGCTGCCTGCAACATCCTCCAGCATGACCGGTTTGGCGGTGGGTCAGTCATGGTGTGGGGTGGCATTTCTTTGGGGGCCTCCATGTGCTCGCCAGAGGTAGCCTGACTGCCATTAGGTACCGAGATGAGATCCTCAGACCCCTTGTGAGACCATATGCTGGTGCGGTTGGCCCTGGGTTCCTCCTAATGCAAGACAATGCTAGACCTCATGTGGCTGGAGTGTGTCAGCAGTTCCTGCAAGAGGAAGGCATTGATGCTATGGACTGGCCCGCCCGTTCCCCAGACCTGAATCCAATTGAGCACATCTGGGACATCATGTCTCGCTCCATCCACCAACGCCACGTTGCACCACAGACTGTCCAGGAGTTGGCGGATGCTTTAGTCCAGGTCTGGGAGGAGATCCCTCAGGAGACCATCCGCCACCTCATCAGGAGCGTGCCCAGGCGTTGTAGGGAGGTCATACAGGCACGTGGAGGCCACACACACTACTGAGCCTCATTTTGACTTGTTTTAAGGACATTACATCAAAGTTGGATCAGCCTGTAGTGTGGTTTTCCACTTTAATTTTGAGGGTGACTCCAAATCCAGACCTCCATGGGTTGATACATTTGATTTCCATTGATAATTTTTGTGTGATTTTTGTTGTCAGCACATCCAACTATGTAAAGAAATAAGTATTTAATAAGATTATTTCATTCATTCAGATCTAGGATGTGTTATTTTAGTCTTACCTTTATTTTTTTTAGCAGTGTATTTCAATGCCTACCTTCAAACTCAGTGCCTCTTTGCTTGACATCAATGGAAAATAAAAAGAAATCAGCCAAGACCTCAGAAAAAGAATTGTAGACCTCCACAAGTCTGGTTCATCCTTGGGAGTAATTTCCAAATGCCTGAAGGTACCACGTTCATCTGTACAAACAATAGTATGCAAGTATAAACACCATGAGACCACACAGCTGTCATACCACTCAGGAAGGAGACGCGTTCTGTCTCCTAGAGATGAACGTACTTTGGTGCGAAAAAGTGCAAATCAATCCCAGAACATCAGCAAAGGACCTTGTGAAGTTGCTGGAGGAAACAGGTACAAAAGTATCTATATCCACATTAAAACGAGTCCTATATCGACATAACCTGAAAGGCCGCTCAGCAAGGAAGAAGCCACTGCTCCAAAAACGCCATTAAAAAGCCAGACTACGGTTTGCAACTGCACATGGGGACAAAGATCGTACTTTTTGGAGAAATGTCCTCTGGTCTGATGAAACAAAAAAAGAACTGTTTGGCCATAATGACCATCGCTATGTTTGGTGGAAAAAGGGGGCTGTTTGCAAGCCGAAGAACACCATCCCAACCGTGAAGCACGGGGGTGGCAGCATCATGCTGTTGGGGTGCTTTGCTGCTGGCCATCACAAAGCCCTGACCTCAATCCTATAGAAAATTTGTGGGCAGAACTGAAAAAGCGTGTGCGAGCAAGGAGGCCTACAAACCTGACTCAGTTACACCAGCTCTGTCAGGAGGAATGGGCCAAAATGCACTCAACTTATTGTGGGAAGCTTGTGGAAGGCTACTCGAAACATTTGACCCAAGTTAAACAATTTAAAGGCAATGCTACCAAATACTAATTGAGTGTATGTAAACTTCTGACCCACTGGGAATGTGATGAAAGAATGAAAAGCTGAAATAAATCTACTATTATTCTGACATTTCACATTCTTACAATAAAGTGGGGATCCTAACTGACCTAAGACAGGGAATTTTTACTAGGATTAAATGTCAGGAATTGTGAAAAACTGAGTTTAAATGTATTTGGCTAAGGTGTACAAACTTCCGACTTCAACTGTACATATAGGACAATTCCCAGGAATGTAAAGGGCTAATAGGCTCCTTGAGTGTGGACAATCAGCCAATAAGGAGTGGAGATCTGCCATGATGAGGAACACACTGCACAGACAAGCCATGCACTGAAGTGTTCATCCATGTAAATAACTTAAGGTCTTCCAATCCTCCAGACAATTAGTGTATTCATTAACTAAAGAAAGAGGATACGTATTAATCACTTCCATCATCGTGTTACTGCTAATTGAACATGGGAAACAACGGACACAGGAGAACCTGTCCACAGCAATGAAAGGGAAACTATTTTTTACTTGATTTTAAGGCCAGGCAAGTGCATTTTACATTGTACACTATTAAAAGACTATAGTGCTATTCTATACTGCCGACGGGTATTGCAAAGTGTATATTAACAGTGAGGGGTCGGGAATCCCTCAATCTTACTATGTGTGACTTTTGCCCCGATTCAATCAGATCCACTTTAGCCGAAATCCGCATAGCTGATGTTTTGACGTGTATGAGTTGGAACTGCGAGCTGTTAAATCCAAAAGCGCACATGATCCTAAAGCAAACATTGCAGACAGAGTCGCATAGAGAAAAATCCCATGCAGCTTTGTTTAAAAGTTAGAACACTGAAATGTGAGAGAGGCTAATCTAAGCCTCGATTAAGATGATAGAAAACCTAATTACGTTGAATGATTTTTTATTTGAGCGTCATTATTTCTATATAGCCTAACACCTTCTCATTCTGAACTTGTAATGCGTGTGTGGGCGAATGTTGCTTGTGTCAATGATTACAAGAGCAGCTTCTCACCGATATGATGCTCCAACTGCAGTTCCACTGACATCGCCAGTTAACTCTTGATCTGATTGAATCTAGGCCTTAAGTACAATTAAAAGTTAAGTACAAAGTAGCCTATGCCTACCTGGCAGAATGATTATTTGCTTCAATCCAGTGGACATTTGTTTTGGGAACTTCATCACGTGCGTTACAGAAAACACTGCTACTAAAAAAAAACAGTGCTAGGTGGATATGCACTTGAACTACAGGGTATTACACTACTCAAATCTACATTTCTTAGATTTTTCCCAGACCTAAAAAGTGGTCTCCTGGTGTGGTTCAGAACATCATTTTTGTTTTTCAAAACAAAAAAACGGGTTAAAATCAGTCCTCCCTGCTTTTTGTGTGGTATAGAAGTCAAAATTCTGGTATTGTGACTATTTACAATTACATAATTATGCTTGTCCACTTTTAATGCAGTCTGGGAATCTGTACTGTCATTTTATTTTGACAAGTATAAGTATTTTCTAAGCATTGTTTGATGTACATATTGTAAAGGCATCTTATCTGGCAAATACATTCCTATTATTTTTATCTGACTATTGAAACATTGACACGTAGTGAGAATTGTAGAAAATATAGATCTCTGCACAAATTGAGCACTGTAGAAAAGCATTTACCCAAGTGGTATAATCAGTGTTACCTTTATATTTTCTTGCTAAATGGTCTCTAGGCAGCAATTGCCAATATTCAACCCTATTGTGCAAAAAAGACTTAAGGCCAGGCTTCATATCTAGAACCCAACTGAGGCTGGTGGTTTGACAATGGGTTGCCAGTATCTTGATGTTGCAACAACATTTTTCTCCAAGAGCACCTTGGTTAAAGGCAACATGTTACATAACGAAAAAAGATCACACCTTCAGTCAAGAGTATAATGAGAAAAGCAGAGACCAAGCATGCCTTTGACACAGGGACAATAAATTATCAAACAAACAATCTCCTCCCGACTGTACTCTAGTTTAAGCACATCTTCAAATACATTATTGCTAGTGCTATCCTTACGATTGTCTCAAAATGCAATAATTGTGTATATCACGTTTTACATCAAATATATTGTCACATAGCAAATAAATGTTTGGGAGTCCCAAATAGTGGTATCAAAATGGTTTGTATCAAACAATGTCAAACACAACATGAAGTAGTAGTCATCTGTTCTATTTTAAATGATGTGCTGTGAGGAATCACCCTCTGCTTACTGTAGTTTGCTCTGCTGTCACCTTTTGCAGGATGTTTTAGTGTCCATCTCTCATGCAAGTGGACATCTGACAGACACAATTTACACCTGATGTTAAAATGCATCGTGATGGTATTGTGCAAAGCCTGTGATCTGATATATATTCACTCATCAGTTCTGGGCCGGAATTCAACGCAAGCAAGCCACATTATAGAGTGGCATTTATCATTAAAGCGATCTCTGCTAACGTCCCAGCCCTTTAAAAGCGACATTGTCAGCTGTATAGTGACCTACACTATAGCGTGACAGGTTGATTAGGGCAGGGATTCATACTCCAAAAGCTATTTTTAACCAAGTGTAAACGGGGCCATACTGTCAATAGGCAGGAGTTGACTGGGTGAACAGACTCTTGCCTACTGACATTATGGCCCTGTGTGCATGCCATGAGCTTTTTCTTCAGTGGCAATCAGCCTGCAGTGAGGTCTTCTGGGACTTGGAGTCCAAACAGTCTGCAGGGAGGTCCTCTGGGATAGCAGTGTGGTCTTCTGTGACCTGGAGTCCATTGGGCTGGCCCACTGGGACGTTGTAGTGGCGGTCATCCTCTGTGACCAGACACACACAGGGCCAGTCTTCCTTATGGTCATCAGGATAATAGGTGATAAACTCCTCTGTGTCTGCCATGTACAGCCTGTAGACCTGGATGGTGCACTGCAAGGCATATCCCAGCAGAAACATCTCCACCTGAAGGAACCAATGAGATAGGGAGTTGATGCTTTAAAACATCATTATTACACACTGTTCCATTTACTGTATTTAAAAACTGGGTATTAAGAGTTAAATGTGAGTGTTTGCGTTGATCAGTATCCATTGTTCGAGGACTTTGAAAATGAGCTTTTATCAGTAGAAACCTCTTAAAAGTACTGCTGTGTAATACACCACTGTCATTAATGCTAATAACCTTCAAACTCAAATTAATGTTGTGCTCTGGCTTAAGACCTTCCCAAGAAGGTCACTGAACAATTCAGACAGACCCAGAGGCTTAGACTGAACTGCTTGCTGTTGAGGGCCAGAAGAACAGATGGTGCAGTGTAACTGTATGCATGTTAGGCTTTGGTTTGTGGGAAAGCTGCACACCCATCCTACCGTATCCTCTTGTGTTTGTGGTTTACCACCATTTAATTAACTAAAGGCTCTGAGCATGCCAGGAAAGTGTTACTAATGAAATTGAGACATTTAATTGATGCCTATAAAAGCCATATTAGAAAGAGTGCTTTGGTGTGTATACAGTATACACACACAGAAATATGAACGCATGTTCATTTGAACAGGGAACCATGAATGTGTATTCTATATTCATACGTTCACAGCTCTGGGGTGAAGGCTCACCTAGGAAAAGATCCAGGATTATCTTCCCCTCTCCCAATCCTAACCTTAACCATTAGTGGGGAAAATGCTAAACTGACCCAAAATTAGCATCTAGGGGCAACTTCAGTTCTCACCTGCTCTAGACCCCCGCTGAAACCCACTTGACTCAGGTGGTTGGAGAGGAATGTGCGTGGGCAGTCGGAAGAGTCGCGTGCATAGAGCAGCCAGCAAAAGACCGGCACGTCCCCTCCCGCTTGCATGGTGGTATGGAGCTCCGAGGCCCGGCCCAGCATGAGGAGCTTCAGGGCCTCCAGCAGGCCCAGCTCTTCCTCCCCTCCCTGGAACACAAGCTCACACAGCCGCTGTCTCTGCTCCGCGCTGGAGCAGCCCACCGCCGCCTGCCACTGGGCAAAACACACACAGACATGCCACATACCACACATTACCATGGGTGGAAATAATACACAGCACGTATATTGAATTATTGCTATTTTCTTGACAGAAATTCAAACACACGCACTTACTGTCATCATTAGTAGGAGTGTAAAACATATTGGATATTCAACGTTTGCTCTTTTCGCAACTGCAATTCATGACTGCATGTCCCTCCTATAGCTCAGTTGGTAGAGCATGGCGCTTACAATGCCAGGGTTGTGGGTTCGATTCCCACGGGGGGCCAGTATGAAAAATGTATGCACTCACTAACTAAATCGCTCTGGATAAGAGCGTCTGCTAAATGACTAAAATGTAAATGTAAATTACTTCAGTGTCTGTCAGTTTTCACCACAATACAAAAGGTGACAGTGTGCACCATTTTCCCCTTAGTTGGCGATCCAAGGCTACAGCTACCAAACATTTAACGACAGAAGAAGTCTTTGAAATGTAGAGTGTAATGAACAAAATTCCTCGAGAGCTGGAAGAGGCTGTTAGATGCCAGCCTGTAACTTTTGGCAGAGGTCTCAAGTCTACGTCACACAGATGTATTAAACTTTTTCCTGAAGACTGAGGGTCCATCTATCCTGTCTCCTGTTTCAAATCAGACTGGTTCAATAAGACACAGCAATCCACAAGGGAAGGTACAGTTGTTACAGTATACCACAAACTATCCTGAAACTGCCATTAAAACCCTCTTCTATATGGCCATAATTACTGCCATAAGGATTGGGAATCAGCAACATCTCCATTGACAATCTGAGAAAAGACATTGGTGTTTGAGTGTTTAAACTAGAGCGTAGAGTACATATGGCTGGGGAAGGAAGACATGGGCGGTACCCTGTTCTGGAGGAGTTCCATGTAGCGTTTGAGCTGTTGGACGGCGTCTTCACTCCTGTCCCCCTGTCTGCACTCCGAGGGGAACATCCAGTGGCCAATCAGCCCCTCCCGTGCCTCCAGCTCCTCTGGCCACTGGAGAAGAAACAGGGTCATATTCATTATGCAACAAACAGAAGAAAACTGACTGAAAGAGGGAGAGAAAAACCTAAACTTGTCCACACATTTTTTTGCTCATTTTAGTTTTCGGTTGCAAAATGTTTTGCTACGGTGTGCACTAATGAATAAGACCAAGCTTTAATACAATAAGGCATGCCACACTGACCATCAGCTAATGTCCACTCGACTGTATACTTGGACTTCCACTGAATATACAGACAGTACAAGGGCTAATGGCTTATATAAGTGTCAGGTTTAGTTACGCAAGCATGGTGTACCATGGAGATGTGTTTGACCTGCAGCCAGACAGGCAGTTGGGTGCTGGTGGAGAGCACCTGGAACAGAGTGGCTCGGAGGGCACAATAGTTATCTCCTCTCACCCGTCTCAGCCTCCCAAACCTCTGAGACAGCTCAGTGTAACCCTGGGACCAGACCACACAGGAAGAGGGATCTAGGTGAATCATGAATGATGTATAAGTTTGTCCTAAATATTTATTTTAAAATATAAGATCATAACTGGCTAATCAACTGACCTTTCTAATAAGGGTACTTTTGGTAGTGTTTCCCTTCCACTCTCTCCCACTGTAGGACAGAATATCCATCGTCGGCTCCAGACTGCATCTGTCCTCAACCTTTGGACTGAGATATGGAGAAGAAAGTGAGAAGGTGCAAACTAGTATTGTATCAAAATATTTTGTGGTATACCATTTAAAAGGCCAATCTGCAGTTGAAACAATAAGATGGCACACTGCCTCTTTTTTGGTAAAAAACGGAGGGATGGGCCTGCAGACATGTATGAAAAAGAAAAAGGAGAGCCACACACTCTAGGAGCTCAGATGTAATAATTGTATAACCAACGTTTAGACAGCCAAGCAGTCTTCATCAGGGTATAATGACAAACACTGCGGGTCACTAGATTACAGCGCATTCGGAAAGTATTCAGACCTTGACCTTTTCCACATTTTGTTAGGTTACAGCCTTATTCTAAAATTGAGTTCCTGAGAGCTCTGGAGCAGGTTTTCATCAAGGATATCTCTGTACTTTGCTCTGTTCATATTTGCCTCAATCCTGACTATTCTCCCAGTCCCTGCCACTGAAAAAAATCCCCACAGCATGATGCTGCCACCACCCTGCTTCACCGTAGGGATGGTGCCAAGTTTCCTCCAGACGTGACGCTTGGCATTCAGGCCAAAGAGTTCAATCTTGGTTTCATCAGACCAGAGAATCTTGTTTCTCATGGTCTGAGTCTTTAGGTGCCTTTTGGCAAACTCCAAGCGGGCCGTCATGTGCCTTTTATTGAGGAGTGGCTTCCGTCTGGCCACTCTACCCTAAAGGTCTGATTGGTGGAGTGCTGTAGAGATCTCCACAGAGGAATTCTAGAGCTCTGACCATCAGGTTCTTGGTCACCTCCCTGACCAAGGCCCTTCTCCCCCGATTGCTCAGTTTGGCCGGGCGGCCAGCTCTAGGAAGAGTCTTGGTGGTTCCAAACGTCTTCCATTTAAGAATGATGGGAGGCCACTGTGTTCTTGGGGACCTTCAATGCTGCAGAAATGTTTTGTTACCCTTCCCCAGATCTGTGCCTTGACACAATCCTGTTTCGGAGCTCTACGGACAATTCCTTCGACCTCATAGCTTGGTTTTTGCTCTGACATGCACTGTCAACTGTGGGGCCTTATATAGACAGGTGTGTGCCTTTCCAAATCATGTCCAATGAATTGAACTTACCACAGGTAGACTCCAAACAAGTTGTAGAAACATCTCAAGGATGATCAATGGAAACAGGATGCACCGGAGCTCAATTACTTATACATTTGCAAAAATTTCTAAAAACCTGTCTTGCTTTGTCATTATGGGGTATTGTGTGTAGATTGCTGAGGATTTTTATTTATTTAATCCATTTTAGAATAAGGCTGTAATGTAACAAAATGTGGAAAAAGTCTAGGGGTGTGAATACTCTCCGAAGGGACACACCGGTATCTGTAATCATGGCCGGCTGTGGCTTGATTTACAGCTTTAAATAGAACATATAAAAAAGCATGAATGGATAACATACGATCATAGATACAATTTGGCTACATAGGCCTACACACATTATTTACAATGGATAGCTAAAACACAACCACAAGAATGGCTTCAGATCAAACTCTACATTGAGACCGAAGGGAGCAAGGGTCTTTAAATTAAAGATCCAGGCGGCCTCTTGTTTTAACAATAAATTGTCAAGGTCATCTGGAGAAATGTACATTTACATTTTCGTCATTTAGCAGACGCTCTTATCCAGAGCGACTTACAAATTGGTGCATTCACCTTATGATAGCCAGTGGGACAACCATATATAATTTTTTTATTTTTGGGGGGGTAGAAGGATTACCTTACCCCACCCCAAAATTGTTTAATGTAAATTCATAGACAGAGCTATGGATGCAAGGACTGATCATCAATGATATCGTTTTAACGATGTTGAGGCTATACTTGTTTTATTTGTGGGTTTATTTACATTTACAATGTTTACAAATATTGGATTTAAACAAGTTTATATTTCCTGGCTTCTGATGGGGTGTGATCGTTATATTATTCAAAAATCTATGGGTTGATATCATTCATTTATAAGTAAAACAATTGATCTAACAACTGCAGATTGCCCGCTTTAAGGAGACACTTCTGGAAAAAATTACATTATCTGAAAGTGACTTAAGTGTGATTTCAAACAGTGCCTCCGGTCCTGCATGTTTACCTGGCCCCTTGGGGAGCTCTTGTAATAATAATAATAATAATAATAATAATAATAATAATAATAAGCCATTTAAGCAGATGCTTTTATCCAAAGCGACTTACAGTCATGCGTGCATACATTTTTGTGTATGGGTGGTCCCGGGGATCGAACCCACTACACTGGCGTTACAAGCGCCGTGCTCTACCAGCTGAGCTACAGAGGACCACAGCTCTTCAGCTCCTCGATACAGGTCTTCCTCACTAAGTGGAAGATAGTTAACGATAATGTAATTACTAACATGTACAATTAAAAAATATACCAATTTTGGCACTATTATGTGACATCGACACAGATCTGCGGTCAGTTGTAAGGTAATACAAAGAGGGACTTTAACAAACCCATCTCCCAGATCCTCCAAAGTTGGACCATCTTCCTCCCTCACTGGTAACACCTTCACATCAGCTAAGGCGCTGGACCCCTGGTGAGCCTCTTCTTTGGGGTCCTCCTCCCGTCTCATGGCCTCTGTCACAGCAGCATTCTTCCTTCTCCTTTTCCTTCTCCTCATCCCTCTGTTTCTGGCAGTTCTTCCAAAGATGGGACTTCAGTCAATCCACATTGGATATCTCCCTTCTCGTCCTCATAGGAGTTCTGACTGGAGAAAAAAAGAGTGGATAAAGAGCATGCGTTTGGGCGTCACCGTATACAGGCTGGCATCACACCGTAAACTTCACCAGGAGATTTTTTTCATGAGAAGAACCTCTTCTGTCATGGTCTTCGTTACACACCACATTCCTCTTGTACGGTCTGGCCTCAGGCAAGCCATAATGTAAGTAGTGTTCGAATGTTCAACTCCAGAAGACTCTACCTCTTTTGAGGAATCATGTTCACAGCAGCAAACATTATGGAACATAGATCAAATTACACTCGAGATAATGGTGAGAAGCAAAAGGCATAGAGATTTCAAAGGCTTTTCCAGGAGAACAGTAATGTGAGAATGTAAACATGTTCTATGCTGCATTGCTATTCCTCGAGACCACATCATTCCTTTCACTCAAACTCAGTTCACTATTAAATCAATGTCATGGCATTGATGAACATGATTACACACTTATACACAGTCATATAGGAAACCTCAGTTGGAGGAGGACTGTATTTCTTTTTTGCTCAACTTTTAAGAAATGTAGGACAGCGTCCTTTTCATATTACATCATAGCATCTCTGTTGAAATTAGTCCTTTTTTAAAAACGCCTCAGATATTACTTATGGTCTTTGGATGCCCCCTAGTGGTGGCAAAGGAGATTGAAAACCCCCCAGCTTTGTTGTAGTAAACTGTACTTGTTAGCATTGACAAGGACTATGATATTAACAAGATACTCGATTGACCACTCTAACAATGGAAGCCAATGTGAAGGCAGACGCGTGTTTGAACAACAGGCCATATAGATAGAGGGCTCATCTTTGCATCTGTACCATTATAGCGTCTGTGACTGCATGGGCAGCGCCATTGACTACTTTAAAATGCAGATCACCTCAATGTTCCTTCTTCATTGGCTGATTGCTCCTAACTCATAGGCATCCCCACCCAGTTGACTACTTTAAAATGGTGGAAGCCGTCAATGGCAATGTCCATTTTAAAACGGGTTATATCCATGATTAGTCCTCTCTCTATGACAACATGCACAACTCCGATATAAAGTATATTATTTCAAAGTTGCCAAAATGCCACGAGCGTCCACTTATAATCAGTGTATTTGTAACAACCTAACCATTATGGGAACTTCTATTAGATAAAATAAGCCTCACAGTAGCACATTAGAACTTACATTTTTTGTTGACCAAATTCGACACTCATTGACCTCATACAAAAATTCCTCACTTCGTGGGCTTACTTTTTGGATGGAGTAAACCTCTTGCGTAGCCTCTTCCTTTCTGGTATTGAGCTATATGGCAAAGACGCATGTCTCTCCCCACGAATGCGCACCGACTCCCGCCAATTCGAGCATTCATTAACTACGTTTCTATCCAGCAGTTTGTGAGTAAAGTCAAATAACAGCTGTGATGGAAACGGGACGTTTCGGTACAATTTTATAAATGCAGACAGATAATTTGTTCTTCCGATATGGTGGGACCTCTGTGTTGGTAAAATTAATTGTGTGAGAAATGGCAGTGGAAACGCCTTTATGAGCAAATATTGATATAATAACCATAATATCGAATTAAAGTGGACGATGAAATCGTGTGTTGTCCCCCCACTACGACTCGGGAAACCATGCAGTTTATTAGGCTACAGAGGAAAAACGTTGTGAACTTCACAGGGTGGTGAAAGGGCATAGTGATCAGCTTGATGCTCCTTTCCAATAAATATCGAGGGTTTTATTCTGGTGACATGATGATCGATGCTTGACTGCCATTTGACAAATATTATATTTTATCCATAATCTCATCATGTAGACTAGCCTACCCGCACCGTATCTGCAAGCTGTTGGTTAGAGTGCACATACCAAGACCAGAGTAGGCACATTTGCTATTTAACGCAACAGTTTGTGTGACAAAACTATTGGTAGAGTTGAAAATGCGATGGAAACACATTGAACTTTAGATTTTTATTTAGGACATGAAAATTTACGCGAAAAAGTAGTGTGCATTACGTCATCACGCACCGATTTTTATTCTCAATAAACACCACTGATTGGAAAATGTGCATCTTTTCTTTATGCGGAATTTAGAATATTCACATGAAAATCTGTCACCAATTGGATGGAAACCTAGCCATTGTGTCAATTGTTTGCCCTTTGTCAATGTTAAAATGTATAGGCCTACTCAGTATTAAAGTTACATTTACATTTTAGTCATTTAGCAGACGCTCTTATCCAGAGCGACTTACATAAGCAATTAGGGTTAAGTGCCTTGCTCAAGGACACATCGACAGATTTTTTACCTAGTCGGCTCGGGGATTAGAACCAGCGACCTTTCGGTTACTGGGACAACGGTCTTAACCACTAAGCTACTTGCGCCCGTTAATACCCGCACTTCCCCAGTAATTTTAGAATGTTAAGGCAGGTTGCCTATTTTAGAATGCACTAGGTGAGGCAGAACGTGATACAAGCTGTAGGTGTTCTGGTAAGAGGACAAGGATAGGAGAGAGACTTGAGGATCTGGTTTAAAGAGGCTTAGCGCCCATTTGTTTTCCCCAAACAATTCCATATGGGCACAATTTATTTTATAAAATCAGAAAAAAACATTTGCATCAGCATATTTCATATTGTATATCATATAAACATAATACCAATATTCCTTGTCATTAACATTTCAACAATCTCAGAGCCAGTAGCCAAACCATAATTATAATAAAACCCATTATTTCCATGACATAATTATCATTCTTAACCCATAATTCCCAAATACATTTACAAAATAGATTAATCATAAATGTATAAATTAGATAATTTCAATACATATCCGACATTACTATCCATACATCAACACATTCTAACGCAATTTACAACAGTGCATCTTTAAATGCACATTGATTGACACAAATGAAAGGAAAATGTAAACAATATTGCAGGTTACTCACAATGGATATTGGACACACAGATAAAGAAAATAAAAGAGATACATTCTGGAGAGTTTCTTCAAGAGCATGGATTGTTTGGCACTGTCTTTTAGTTCAAAGGTACTCAGGTACTTACTTAAAGGGTAGCTGCTTTTAGCAACGCGGGTGTATTTACATACACTAGCGTTGTTTTCAATTGAATTGGGTTGCACAAAAAAAGTCTGATTGGCACGTTTTTCTGATGCTTATTAGAAACACGAGATTTCAGTCTTGGACGTGTGTTTCCTGACCGATTCTGCGTTTGGTTAATGATGTTTGTCCCCCATGAGACACTTTCCTCAAAATCCCAGGAATTCATCCAAGATAATTAATTACAGATTTCTTGAGTCGACGTTTTTGCAGAGGATGTTTTAGATCTAACTAAGGTGTTTGGTGCAGTATTTCTCAAGTTACAAAAATGTGCAACGTGTTGTCTTATGTAAACAAAGTTGAAGCTGCTGGGCAGGTCTGTCTCAGTGTCTACACTATTGGATAGAGAGCAATTACCGCAGTTGTTCACCCCATGTTAGTGGGCATATGGACATCTTCAAATCAAAACCCAACCTTCATTTACCTGTTGTGACGCACGGATGTTCCAAACTACATTTTAGGTGAGACTGACTTTACCAAAATTATCCTATTTACACTTTGTAGTCTGTTTAAAAATACTGTTTTTGTCAAACCAAATACAATTGAAAGCAACGCTAGTGTATGTAAATACACCCATGTTGATAAAAACAGCTAGGTAACGGGTTGGCGGTGCGCTCATTGGTGCCTGCAGTTAAAGGGACAGATCCCTAAAGCCTGTAGATAAAAAGTATAAGAAAATGAGAGCCTTTGCTACAGTTTGTTTACATTAATTTCTGTTAATTCATTGAATATAATATTACATAAATGTACCATTCTCATAGTGGAAACGTACATTGTTTAGATAGCTCACAAACTGCGTAACACTTGTGATGAAGCTTTGGTTTATTCAATTCTATTTACCAGTTCTGTCCATTTCTTCATCGTCTTAGTTTGGAGCACATGGAGGGCTGGCGCAAGAACGAATCAGTTGGTTTTTATAGGCGGACACTTTTGTTCTTTAAGGGACCTCCTGTATGCTCACATGGAGCACTCCAAATAAAACTTGTAAATGATGGTTATGAAATAAACCAAATGACTGGGATTAACAGTACATTTACAGTGCATTCGGAAAGTAGTTCAGACCCCTTGACTTTTTCCACATTTTGTTACAGCGTTATTCTAAAATGGATTAAATCGTTTCCCCCCCCCCCCCCCCCCCCCCCATCAATCTACACACAATACACCACAATGACAAAGCAAAAACTAGTTTTTGAAATGTTTGCAAATGTATATAAAAAACGGAAATATCACATTTACATAAGTATTCAGACCCTTTACTCAGTACTTTGTTGAAGCACCTTTGGTGGCGATTACAGCCTCGAGTTCTCTTGTGTATGACGCTACAAGCTTGGCACACCTGTATTTGGAGAGTCTCTCCCATTCTTCTCTGCAGATCCTCTCAAGCTCTGTCAGGTTGGATGGACAGCGTCGCTGCACTGCTATTTTCAGGTCTCTCCAGAGATGTTCAAATCGGGTTCAAGTCCGGGCTCTGGCTGGGCAACTCAAGGACATTCAGAAACTTGTCTCGAAGCCACTCTTGCGTTGTCTTGGCTTTGTGCTTAGGGTCGTTGTCCTGTTGAAAGATGAACCTTCACCCCAATCTGAGGTCCTAAACAGGTTTTCATCAAGGATCTCTGTACTTTGCTCCATTCATCTTTCCCTCAATCCTGACTAGTCTCCCAGTCCCTGCCGCTGAAAAACATCCCCACAGCATGATGCGGCCACCACCCTGCTTCACCGTAGGGATGGTGCCAGGTTTCCTCCAGACATGATGCTTGGTATTCAGGCCAAAGAGTTCAATCTTGGTTTCATCAGACCAGAGAATCTTGTTTCTCATGGTC